CACCCACAGGCACCCACCTCCAGTCTTCTCATCCTCGGGCTCGGCCTGCGTCGTCTTTGTGTGCTCCAGCTGGGCCATTAGAAGTTGGGCACGGGGCTCGAGGTCAGACCCGGGCATGTTGAGCTGCACATGGGCCACCAGCTGCTTGATGCAGGGAACGTCCGGGCTGACTGAAGTCCTCTGAGTACTGGTCCAGCCAGGTGCCCAGAATGGAGGAGATGGCCCTGGAGGTAGGCGGGCAGGAAACAAAGTCAGTGGCCTGGCCTGCCCTTCCACACAGCCCCCTGGGGCAGCCCTTGGGAATCTCCATCCAGAGGCCAGGCCCACCCAGCCCACCCGCACCGGCCATCCAGGCAGGGGCAGGTGTGGCCAGCAGGTGCGGGGAGCCAGCAGTCTCCACGGGAGAGAGCTCTCCATCACTGGTGTGAGCACCCATGCCTTCCTGAGGGGAGCCTGCCCCACTCCACTGTCTGTCTGGTGTCCCTCCTGCTGCAGTGGAAACTCCAGGAGGGCTGGGGGATGCAGTGTCTGCTCTGTCCCAGCCCTGGGGCACAGAGAGGAGCTGCAGAAGTCTATGAGGGAGGAGGGAAGGGCAGTGTCCCTTGGCCCAGCCCACCTGAACTCTCACGGCCCCTCGACCCCCAGCCCCTGCTCCGACGGCTGCCTGACCCCCTTGCAGGCACGTGGGGTCTCCTCCACCAACACTATTCTCGGGGACGGCTGCCCGGCCTGTCCAGGCCCCACATGCACCTGGCCTGGGGGACCCAGTGTGAGCCGGTGGCCCCCGGATCGGGTCAGGGCAGGCGGGGCCCCCAGCCTCCCCTCCGCTCCCTAGGCCCCGGGCCCGCAGCCTCAGCTGTCTGACTCCTGTCCTCCTGCAGGAGAGGCCCCCACACCGCCGCCCTCCAGCAGCCATGACAGACGCGGGGCAGCCAGGGCTCTGCCCAGCACCCCAGCCCCGCCAAAGCCCCAGATGTCCCCCACCTCGGAGACAGGGGCTCTTCTTCGTCCTAGGGCCCGTCATCCTTCGGACAATGAGAGCAGAGGGATCCACCACTAGAGGAGGCCGGCAGGGCGTCCCACGCAACGTCCTGTGCCATCTCTGCTTTGTCGTCTAGGGGTCCCGGTGGACCCCCACCTAGAACAGAGGCCCGCGGGGCAGGGAGATTTGTCTGCCCTGTTTCCTGAATTACGCAAAATGTCTAGACGGGGCTTCCTGTCCACGTGTGGCGTCAATGAAGCCCAAGCAGCACCTTTCAGATGTCTGAGTGGGTCTGGGGCCCCTCTGCCAGCCCCCAGGGATCGCTGCTCTGGCTCCACCCAGGATGGGAGCCCCAGATGGAATGTGAAACCTCGTCACAGCCGGGAATGCGGCTTTGCCCCAGACACAGGACACCGAGGCTTGGGGCAGCGAGCTCCTTCGCGGTGGAGAGGAATCGCCTCAGCCCCAGGCCACCTCTCCGTAGGCCGACCACAGGGTCGGGGACCGGTCCCCACAGGCCTGACAGCAACCCCGTGTGTGGGGTCGGGCCTCGTGGCACGCGGGGTTCCTAGGAAACACCTGAGGCTCGGAGAGGGGATGTGCCACATCCGAGATGCACAGCCCGCAGGTGAGGGGGAGCCGCGGGAAGGGACTGGGAGCCTGCTCACCTTTTGTGAGCAGCAGGTGTGGGAAGGGCTGGGGGGCGACCCTTGGGAGGTGCTCCGGGAGAGGGGCCATAGGAGAGGGCCTGCCCAGGCTCCACCAGCTCCTCCTGCTGTCAGCACGGACCGCCCACAGCCTCGGGCTCTCACCCAGGGGCAGGGCCGACTTCTGTTCACAATGAGGCTAATCTTTGGATAAAGGAGGGACAATTCACAAAATAGAAACTGTAAAAATATTCCTGTCCATGTTCTGAAGTGCAATAGAATATCAACAATTGGTTCGGATCATCTTAGACGGGTGTGAGGGCTGATTTTGTACCTGGCCAAGGCTGGGGCTGGACCAGGTGTGTGTGTGGTGTGTGTGTGTTTGTGGTGTGTGGTGTGTGGTGTTTGTGTGTGTGTGTGTGTGGTGTTGTGTGTGTGTGTGTGTGTGTGTGTGTGAAGGGAGCAGCCCAGACTCCGTGGGTTGACATTATGGCCAGATAAGGGGCACAGCGGTCGTGGCAACCCGGGTGGTCAGTGACCTGGATGGCTTTGGGGCAGGAGACCCTCCTGGCCCTCCCTG